ACTACCACACACCCATGCCCTTCAAACTGTGAGTGAACATCCCCTATTTTTTTAAAATATCTATTTGCTTGAAATAGAGAGAGAGAGAGAGAGAGAGATCTTCCATCTGCTGGTTTACTCCCGAAATAACAGCAGTAGCTGGAGCTGGGCCTGAACAGGAGCCAGGAACACCCTCCAGGTCTTTCCCATGACTGCAGGAGCCCGAACACTTGGACCATCTGCTGCTGCTTTCTCAGGATCATAAGTAGGGAGCTGGATCAGAACTGTAGCAGCTGCACCTCAAGTGGGCACATATATGGACTGCCAGGATTGCAGTTAGTGGTTTTACCCATTGGCACCATAACACAGGTGCCATTCTCATTACTTTTTAAAAAAAAAAAATTTACTTTTTGGGCCCGGTGTAGTAGCCTAGTGGCTAAATTCTCACCTTGCAACCCCCGGTATTCCATATTGGCACCAGTTTGGGGCCCAGTTGTTCCACTTCCCATCTAATTCCCTGCTTGTGGCCTGGGAAAGCAGTCGAGGACAGCTCCCGCGTGGGAGACCTGGGAGAGGTTCCTGGCTTTGGATCAGCTAAGCTCTGGCCATTGTGGCCATTTGGGGGAGTGAATCAAAGGATGGAAGGTCTTTCTGTCTCTCCTTCTCTCCGTAAAATCTGCTCTATCTTTCCAATAAAAATAAATCTTTTTTTTTTTATTTTGATGATCTTTACATAGTTGATTAGGGCTCAAAGGGTCAGGAGTTACGGGAAAGTGGATAAGACCGTTGTTTCCACATTCTCTTCTTCTTGTATCTGGGGGAAGGGGAGAGACAAAAGGAGAAGCTCTGCCCAGCCTCCCAATCACCCCAGGGTCCCCGATAATGAAAGGCTTTTGGCTAAAAACGGTATCAGCAACATCAGCTTCCAAGCTCACATTGATACTAAACATTAACTCCGCAGAGGCAGACAATGCCTAAATAAATCACAGAATTCTCAGTGGGGTTGTCTGGTGTCCATGGAAAGGGAGGCGGAGCTGCATTCAAGTCTCCTATACGTGCAGCAGGACCCCAAACACTTGGGCTGTATTCTGCTGTCTTTCCAGGCTCACTAGTGTGGAACTGGATTACAAGTGGAGCTGCAGGGTCTCAATCCACTTCTCATAAATGATGCCAGGGTCACAGACAGTGGCTTAACCCCACTGTGCCACAACTCTGGGCTCACTAGTAACAATTTACTTCCTGCTGTTCTCACAGACGTCTGTGGGTGTTGCTGGTGGACAGGCCCGTGAACACTCCAGCTTCACCCTATATTAGGGCTCAAACCTCCAACAGAGTTTTTTTTCTAAAGATTCATTTATCTTTATTGGACAGGCAGATAGATCTACAGAGAGAAGGAGAGACAGAGGGGAAGATCTTCCATCTGCTGGTTCACTCCCCAAGTGGCCGCAATGGCCGGAGCTGAGCTGAGCTGAAACCAGGAGCCAGGAGCTTCTTCTGGATCTCCCACCCAGGCCACAAGAGGGAGCTGGATGGTCTCTCACGTGGGTGCACAGCCACAAGCACTCAAAGCACCTTCTGCTGCTTTCCCAAGTGCATTAGTAGGGAACTGGATTGAAAATGGAGCAACTGCATTCAAACTGGCATAACATATGGGGGTACTGGCACAGCAGGCAGTTGCTTTACCTTCAATGTCACTACCCCAGTCCTTCCCAGCACTTCTAACAGACTCAGTAACTCAGTAGGTGTTTTTTTTTTTTCAATTGTTTTACATTTTGTCTCTCTAATCAGGGTAGTGATTTGTTTTTTTTTTTAATATTTATTTTTATTGTAAAGTCAGAAATACAGAGAGCAGGAGAGACAGAGGAAGATCTTCCATCTGTTGATTCACTCCACAAGTGACCACAACAGCCGATACTGCACCAATCCGAAGCGTGGAGCCAGGAATTTCCTCCAGGTCTCCCATGCAGGTGCAGGGTCCCAAGGTGTTGGGCCGTCCTCAACTGCTTTCCCAGGCCCCAAGCAGGGAGCTGGATGGGAAATGGAGCTGCTGGGATTAGAACCAGTGCCCATATGGGATCCTTGCGTGTTCAAGGTGAGGACTTTAGCTGCTAGGCCACCATGCCAGGCCCATATTTATTTATTTTCATTTCAAAAGCAGATTTAGAGAGAATTGGAGAGTTAAAAAGAAAGGTTTTTCATCTAGTGGCTCACTCCCCAAGTGGCTACAATGGTTGGAGTTGAGCCGATCCAAACCCAGGGGCCAGGAGCTTCATCCAGATCTTCCATGTGGATGCAGGATCCCAAGGTTTGGAACCATTCTCCACTGCTTTCCCAATCATAAGCAGGGAGCTGGATGGGAAGTGGAGCACCTGGGACATGAGCCAGTGCCCATGTGGGATGCTGGTGCTGCAAGAGGATTAGGTTGTTAAGCCATCTCGCCAGCCTCAGTGGGGATCCCTTCTAAGGGAAATAGAAGCAATTGTACCTGCTGCTCCTATAGCCTAGAGAGAGACTTAGTACCAGCGTGCCCATCCGGGTTTCCTCTCCTGGGAGCATGACCCAGTGTCCTTCAAAGCTGCTATTTGGATTGGGACCTAGAATAAGATTCTACATCAAGTCCAGGCTGCTAGGCAAGCTACTGTACCCCTTAAGTGATGTGCCCCGGGCAGGTCCAGGGGTGCTTTAAGTGGCAGTAGCAGAATGGAGCCTTTCACAGGCCCTGTACAGACCCTCAGGGTCTGGAGCGCCCTCTGCCGGTCTCTTTTGAGATTGAGTCTTTGAGACTGGGCTTTAGTAAAAACTGTTTGCTTCGCCAAAACCACCAAGGCGCCGTGTAACTTGAGTTGCCCATCATGAACTGGGTGCTACCTGACTCACCAAGCCATAAATTTGCTTGCCCATGGCAGCATCCATCATCAAATGGAGGTGATACATACGTGATCAGGCCCAATCAGACCCTGAAGGCACAAATAGTTGCTTAGAGAAGTGGTCCAGAAGGCCATGGCCTCCCACTCCGACCATCCTGATTTCTCTCTCCCAGCCTACACTTATCGTCTGCCAGGGAGTCCTCTACAACAAGTAGACAGAGGAAGACAAGACTCCAGCTTGCTTTGCTGATGGTTTTGAGTGATGCACATGTGTCACCTGAGAGGAGGCAGTGACAGCCCTACAGGCCCACCCTGGGACAGCCTTGAAGTGCAAGGGTGAAGGGAGTCTGTGGGCAGAGGTTTGAGTAGTGCACCTATACAGGAAGTGTGCTTGGCTTGGAAGGAAAAATGACCAGAAGTGAAATTTTTAAAAAGATTTTATTCATTTGTACTGGAAAGTCAGATATACAGAAAGAAGGAGAGACAAAGAAGATTTTCCGTCTGTTGATTCACTCCCCCCAAGTGGCCAGAGCTGAGCTGATCTGAAGCCTGGAGCCAGGAGCTCTTCCAGGTCTCCCACGCAGGTGCAGGGTCCCAAGACTTTGGGCTGTCCTCTCCTGCTTTCCCAAGCAACAAGCAGGGAGCTGGATGGGAAGCCGGGCTGCTGCGATTAGAACCAGAGCCCATATGGGATCCCAGCGTATTCAAGGTGAGGACTTTAGCCACTAGGCTACCACTCTGGGCTTGAGATTACTTTTTAAAAGATTTATTTATTTTTGAAAAGCTAAGCTACAGAGACAGAGAAACACACACACACACACACACACACACACACATACACACAGACGCGCACGCAAAGAGAGAGAGAGAAAGTGAGCAAGCTTCCATTCACTGGATCACACTCTAAAAGGTCCCAATGGACAGTGCTGAGCCGGGTCAAAGCTAGCAGGCAGGAGCTTCTTCCAAGTCTCTTACGTGGACCTCAGGGGCCAGAGGACTTGAGCCATCCTCTGCTGCCTTCTCAGACCATTAGCAAGGATCTGGATGGGAAGTGAAACAGCCAGGATCAAACCAAAAAATATATATAGGATACTGGCACTGCAGTTGGAGGCTTAGCGTGCTACATCATGACACTGGCTTCCAGATGCATATTAATGACTGAGGTGTGGTCAGTGATGTGGCTTGTCAGTCATGGACTTGGGAGAAGCATGATTGGAAAAGCAATGACAGGGAAAATTTGAGCAGGGTTATGTGAATGGACAAAACATGGGAAGATTTGTGTTTCCCATTTGAATGTTCACCAAAAGATGACCTCAGCCAAGGAGAACATTAATAATCAGGTGCACAGCTGACCTGCTCTGTGGGTACAACTGGCCTCTTTCCCTATGCCACCCTCCTCATCATTGCCCCATGGGCTCCTGAACAAAGTCCCTGTGGTGGCAGGGATGGAGATTATACCTGGACTCAGCGACACAGACTTCCACTCACCAAGGCCAACCTGGTTACGCCTTGCACTGATCAGCCATCTAACTGGTTGCAGGCGGATCACACTGGATCCCTTCCATCATGGAACAGGCAGTATTTTGTTCCTACTGGGACAGACGGTTCCTCTGGATATGGGTCGGACCCATCTGTCTGTCACAGCGGCTTCTGCCAAAGCTGCCGTCTGTGGACTCCCTGATCGCCCCCCACCCCTTCACTGCCATGCTGTTTCACACAGCGTTGCTGCTGACTAAGGGACTCATTCTATAGCCAAGGAGACGCAGTGGCCTCATGCTCACAGAATACGCTGAACTTAGCATGTCCCCCGGGACCCTGAAGCGGCTGCCTTGCTAAGACCACGGATGGCCTTTGGTAGTGACACCTGCAGCCCCAGTCAAGTGACGGTACCTTGCTGGACGGGGTACACCATGGCCCCCAGGGATCTGCCAACAGCATTCTGCTTCCTGTTCCTATTCATCTTCTGCTGGCCTGGAGGTCACAGCCCCACGGTGGTGATGAGAAGAGGAGACAGCTCCACCAGGTGACAAGGTCCCCGCTGAACTGGAAGTCGAGGCTGCTGCTTGCCACCCTAGACTCCTCATGCTAAGCGGGGCAGTGGGGGGGGGGGAGTTACAGTGTTGGCTGGGGTGAGGGATTCTGAACCTCAAGGGGCAAGCAAATTACTACTCTATATCAGAGATAAGGAAGCGTATCCTGAAATACGAGAGATTCCCTTGACACATCCCTAAGTAGTCCCAAGTCCTGTGATCATGGTCAATGGAAAGTTGTAACAATCCAATCCCGGCTACTCACAAATGGCCAAGATCCTTCCAGGAGGGTCTAGGTCACCCTGTCAGGCAAAGCACCGCGATTCGCTGAGGCGCTTGCTGAGGGTAAATGGACAGCAGAAGAAGATAGCGGTGACTGTTAGGACCACATGACCTGCCACAGAAATGAAGGCGGCAGCTGTGACAAGTATTTCCTCACTTTTTGGTGAATACATTTATCTGTATATCACAAATAGATTTGTTTCTTTTCCTCTCTTATTACTTTAACATGTAACATAAAGTATGTTCATATTAGGGTCTGTGCTGTGGCACAGTGGGTTAAGTCACCACTTTGCGCATCCCATATCGGAGCACTGGTTCAACTCCTGAAGGGTTCACTTCCAACCCAGCTTTCTGCTAATGCACCTGGAAAGGCAGAAAAGGATGGTTCAAGTACTTGGACCACTGCCATGCACGTACGAGACCAGGATGGAACTCCTGGCTCCTGGCTTCAGGCTGGCCCAGATTTGGTTGTTATGGGCATTTGTGGAGCGAACCAGTGAATGAAAGATGTCATTGTGTTACTCTCTGTCACTCTTTCAAGTAACTAAGCAAATAAATCTTAACCAAAACAAAACAAGAGATGTTGACCTTATATCATTTTTTTTTCTTTTAGTATCATCAACTTTACATCACAGTATTAAGTTATGGGGGTTTTACAAAGAATACATTTTTAAAGTTTTTTTTTTTAATTGGAAAGGCAGATTTACAGAGATGAGAGACAGAGGGAAAGATCTTCTATCCACTGGTTTACCCCCCAAGTGGCTCCAAAGGCCAGAGCTGAGCTGATCTGAAGCCTGGAGCCAGCAGCCTCTTCCAGGTCTCCCACGTGGGTGCAGAGTCCCAAAGCTCTGGGCCATCCTCGACTGCTTTCCCAGGCCACAAGCAGGGAGCTGGATGGGAAGTGGGGCTGCCGGGATTAGAACCGGCACCCATATGGGATCCCAGCGGCTGCAAGGTGAGGACTTTAGCCACTGAGCCTTAGCACTGGGCCCACGAAAAATAAATATTGCCCAAGGGTTGTACCTCCTCTTCTGAGGAAGGGGGCAGTGCATTGTCAGTTGCTTAGAGGATGTCTGTGTCAGGTAATGTGGAATTGTGACCTTTTTATTGTCTTCCTTTGGAGATTAAGTGTCTTAAGTTGACAAGTATTGCTGTTGTAAGAACAAATTGCAAATTCTACGTATCAACTGGACTGGGACCTGGTGCCCTGATTAAACGTTACTTCTGGGTGTGTCTACGAGGGCATTTCCTGATCAGGTTAGCATGGATTCAGTGAACTGAAGCACCAGATGGCTCTCCTGGAGCAGTGAGCTTCATCCCATCCGCCGAGGGCAGGATTAGGGCAGAAAGCTGGGGCACGGGGAGTGGCTCTCTTTCTGTCTGCTGAGCAGCGACACCCATATTGGGTGTCCCTTTCCTCAGCTGGAACTTAACAGCATCGGCCCTCTGGCTCTCAGAACTAGGCTACTGGTCCTCCTGCACTTACAGCTTGCTAGGGGCAGATTGTGGCACTTCTCAGTTCCCCTAAGTACAGGAGTCAACTCCTTGCAATAGCGCAGATATTGATTCTGCTTCTCTTGCAGTTCTGTTTCTCTGGAGAAGCTTAAAAACATCCAGAATCCCACCTCTAACACTCACAGGTGTATGGTACTGTGCTCTAGGCTGGTGGCCACAAAACAGCTCAGGGCAACCTTGCCAGTGTCCATCAACAGCTAATGACTGTTGTAGAGGAAAAACAAACTAGTTCCTACCACATGGGAGGAGTATATTCAGCAACTCGGTTTTTCTTACCTGGTGCTAGCACTGCAGCCTCATGTATCACCAGCCCCTGCCTTCAGCCTCCACCTCTTCCATAATAGAAGCTGAATCAGAAGCCCAGAGCAGGGATCGGTGTGACAGCTCAATTGGTTGTCTACCTACAAGCACCAGCATCCCACACAGACGCCAAGTTCGTGTCCCAGCTGCTCCACTTCCCATCCAGCTCTTTGCTTATGGCCTTGGAAAAACAACGGAGGATGGCTCAAAGCCTTGGGACCCTGCACTTGTGTGGGAGAGCCAGAAGAAGCTCCTGGCTTCAGATCAGATCAGCTCCAGTTGTTGTGGACATTTGGGGGAGTGAACCAGCAAATGGATGATCTTTCTCTCTGTCTCTCCTTCTCTCTGCCCATTAAGATAAATAAATAAATGAATAAATAAATAACAAGAAATCTCAGAGCAGCTGGGACTTGAACCAGGCATTCTGATGTGGGATGTAAATATCACAAGCAGTGGCTTAATCTGCTGCACCACATATGCCATAGACTGCTACAGACCACTGGACGTGACACGGAATGAGAGCAGCCTGTGTTTGCCTGTGGAGGGTGGATGGATGGTGCCTTCTACAGGACATGTTTTGGGCAGGTAAAGCAAGGAGGTATCAGTCACTGCGATTCTGTGTGTGTATGTGTATCTGTTTGACTCCACAGTAAAGATTGGGGAATGGGTGGGTTTTCTGTATTCTTAGAAGTCACCCTCTGCACGCAGCCTCCTTAAGCTTTCACTTCCAAGGCCTTGAGTTTTCTACCAGAGTTCTTGTACTTGTGCCGCCTACCTCCACCACACCCACAGTCCACCCCCTCCCAGGCTCTCCGCCCCATTCCTGGCCTTTGATCTTCCTGTGGTGCCACCGCCCACAGGCAAGAAGGTTGTCTGGAAGCCCCAGGGTAAGAATACCTACCCTGCCATGCTGCGTCTGCCCTTCAGGCTGCCAGTTAGAATGTGGAGCAGGACTTTGGAAAAACAGGTAAATGGGGGCGTCCCCTCTGGGGGCCTGGGGCATGGCTGTTGGCAGTAGAGAGACCCACCAACCTGGGTCTGGTAATCTGCTTCCCTCCACTGTGTGGGCTGCCCTGGTGTGCTGTCCACCATTTTCTGGTTTTCTTTCTACTTCTGTCTTCCTCTTTCATAGACAGAGGGCAGCAGAGGTTCACGGAAAGGCTCTGTGGCACAGGGAGGTGGGCTCCCAGCTGGCTGCTCCTTCTGGGTGTTCCGCAGCCACAGGTGCAGCGACAGCTGCAGAGAGATCCCTGGAGAGCAGAGAGCGCCTCACTGTGCTGGTCCTGAGGAGGGCCTGTGGGGAGGGGCCGGCAAACGAGGTGCTGACCTTGAGGTGCGCTGGAAGAACTTCAGAGCCCAGAGCCAGGGGGCAGCCTGAGGAGGACTCTGTAGGAAAATACAATCCTTCCCTGTGGGGAGAAGCTGAGGGAGGGAGGGCAAGGTGTTGTAGGCACCCTCACTATGCCGATTGAAGGGGCTGTTGCGAGAAATAAAATGGCTTCTATTTTGCATCGTGCTTAAAGCAGGACTTGACACCTCAAGTGATGACCATGTCTCAGTCATCTTTTTCTGAAGTATGCTCCTTGCCCTCTCTCATTCATGCCCCTACTTAACATGGTATTTGTCTTCCCCTCTCATTCATCCCTCCCTTACTCCAGCATCTGAAGCCACCCTGGTGTATCCTGTTTTCTGAGAGATTACCCTGCTTGTTCTTGAATATGCTCCAAGTCTTTGAAGAGAATAGAATCCACTGAGGAGTGACTGACTGTTAGTGTATTGACTATGGTAGGAACAGGTGCAGTGGATTCTCCAAACCAGGGGAATGTGGCTAAAGCAGTGCTTAAGGGCAGTGTTTAAGGGCAAATCTATAGTTCCAAATGCAGGCATCCGAAAAGTAGAAAAATCAATGACCTGAACTGCAAATCAACACACTGTGAAACTACCAGTAAATTGAACTCTACGAAGCAAAAGGAGGGTGATTATTAACAGAACAGCTGACTTGGTGAAATGGGAAGCAAATGTACATTTGAGAAAACAAATAACATCAAAGTAATCAGTCCTTTCTGCTTTCGCTTGAGAAATGAATAGAAATTACTTTTTTTTTTTTACTGATATCAAGGATGAAAAGAGGGTGCTATCACAGATTCTACAAATGTTGAAAGGTTAATAAGTTTTTTTTTTTCAACATATGACTTTGTTTTCCATTCAAAGCCTAAGTGCTGGTCATTTTCACATTCTGCTGCCCCTGTGTCCACGTGGGCCCTCTGTATCCATGAGAACAGCACAACTCAGCAACTTTGCTAATGCCTTTTCCACTCATGCAAATGGAAACACACAGTGTTTTTTTTAAGCTGGGGCTTGGTGAAATCAATTGTTTAAAGTATGCTGCTTTTAATGGAATTAAATACAGCAAGATAGAAAAGAATAAAGTAGCCTGGAGTGGAATAGAATGAAATTGAGTCTAATCGAATGGAATTGAATCAAATAGAATAGAATAGTACACAGGCTTTGTGCCCAGAGTTGACCCTAATGGTTTAGAGGGTAGTAATCCATCTAGCAACTATTATTAACAATTGATTGGGGAGCGATGAAGTACACAACAGAGGAAGTCTTACCCTTGGAAAATTTACATCCTAGTCTGGCAACCAGGTGCAAAGTCCCTTAGGTTGAAGGTATAGGAACAGGTTAAAGAACAGTGTGGCTTTTTGAGTTCAACAGCAAGTGTAGAGATTGAGGGCCATGGTAAGGAATCCAGATTTTAACAGGGTGACTATAACATCATTATCACTAATAGCCATAATTTTTCTATAATGCTTTCTATGTGTCACACATTGTCCTAATATTTTAAAATACAATTTTGTAACATACCTGTAAGTATATAAGCAGTTTTCAAAATATTCCTGGAAAACATATACCATTAAAAACCTATGAATGCACCAAAGTGAACTTACCTTTTATTTTTTTTTTTTATAAGTTTACTTTTATAGAAGGAGAGAGACAGCAGTCTTCCATTTGCTGGTTCACTCCCTAAATGGCTGCAACGACCAGCAGAACTGTACTAATCTGAAGCCAGGAACTTCTTCCGTTTCTCCCACATACCCATGGGAGGGCTCAAAGACTTAGGTCATTCCCTGCTGCTTTCCCAGGCCACAAACAGGTAGCTGGATGGGAACTGGAACAGCTGGGACAGGAAGTGGTGCCCATATGGAATGCTGGCACCACAGAATGGAGGTGACCTGCTCTGCTACTATGCCAGCCCCATGATTACTTTTTAATTCTACTTTCCATATATATTTTTAAAAAGTATGTATTTATTTAGGTAGTTAATTGAAAAGCAGAGTTGCAGAAAGGGAGGGAAAGAGGAAGGGATAGAGGCACAGAAGGAGATAGTGAAAAAGAAAAAAAACTTCCATCCACTGATTCACTCATCAAATGTCCACAATTGCGAACTGGAATTGGGTCAGGGTGAAATCAGGAGCTTCTTCCAGGTCTTCCAATGGGCACAAAGGCGAAAGCACTTGAGCCATCTTCTGCTGCTTTGCCAGGTGCATTAGCAGGGAGCTGGATCAGAAGTAGAGTAGCCAGGATTCAAACTAGCACCCACATGGAATGCCAGCACTGCAGGTAGCAGTTTTACCAGCTAGCTACAGCACCAGCCTCTTTCTGTGAACTGTTGAAGTATCCTCCTAAAATCATGTTTATTTTTTGTTTGTTTAAAGATTTATCTTATTTTTATTAGAAAGGCAGATTTACAGTAAAGGAGAGAAAGAGACAAAGATCTCCTGTCTGTTGGTTCACTCCCCAAGTGGCTGCAATGGCCTGAGCTGCACCGATCCGAAGCCAGCACCCAGGAGCCTCCTCCAGGTCTCCCATGTGGGTGTAGGGTCCCAAGGCTTTGGGCTGTCCTCAGCTGCTTTCCCAGGCCACAAGCAGGGAGCTGGATGGGAAGTGGAACATCTGGGACACAAACTGGTGCCCATATGGGATCCTGGCATTTGCAAAGTGAGGTTTTAGCCACTGAACCATTACGCTGGCCCCAAAATCTTGTTTATTTGATAGAAGGGAAAACCAAGGCACAAAGAAACTACCTAAATTCTGGTCTGGCTATTTTCAACATTATACCCTACAATCTATAGTGCCAGACCACAGGCATGATACAATTCTGCAGCACATATAATGTAAATACACAAATGACTACAGAATTCGAGTCAAGAGATAAAATCTAATGGGAAATGTACCAAAGGCGGGAAGTAGATTTGTAAATAACATGCCAAAACCTTATGTTTCATCTGCAATGCTCCCTTCTTGTTCTGCCCTCTGTAATCACAGGTGTGGAGTAAGAAAGAAGGGGGCAGGGAAAATTGACCAGCAGAGGTGCTTGTATTCATACAGTTGGGCGTTCCCTGTGTCTGTAATTTCTTGCAAAAGAGATGAATGAATTCCAATTACAAACAAGGAGGAGTGTGGTCTTAGTTTAGTCTCTACTCTCCCTCAGTCTTTAGCTTTAGCCACCTGGAAAGATAAAGAGAATAAGGAAGCAGTAGAGAATGGGCATGGCAGACTTGCAAACCCATACATGGGCAATAAGATTCTACTGCTTTTTCTTGAGGCCTTTCCTCTTGAACTGGGGTAGGAGGTAGACATCGGTACACAATAGGTTGAACTGCGACCTGTAACACTGGCATCCCATATTGAAATGCTAATTCGTGTCTTGTCTGCTCCACTTCCGATCCAGTTCCCTGCTAATGTGCCTGGAGAGGTCACAGAAGATAGCTCAAGGGCTTGCTGGGATCCCTACCATTCACTTGGGACAACAAAGTGAATGCAGTTCCTGGCTCCTGACTTTGGCCTGGTGCAGCTCTGGCCATTGAAGCTAAGAGGAATAAACCAGTAGATCAAAGATCTGCTTCTTATTCTCTGTTATCTTGTGTTTCAAATAAACAAATCTTAAAGAAAAAAAAAAAAGGAGGGGCTGGTGCAATGACTCAATTGACTAATCATCTGATTGTAGTGTCAACATCCCATATGGGATGTTCCTGTCTCGGCTGCTCTATTTCCCACTCAGCTCCCTTGCTAATGTGGCCTGGGAAAGCAGTGGAGGATGGCTCAAAGGGGACCCTGCACCCACATGGGAGAACCGGAAGAAGATCTTGGCTCCTTGCTTTGGATTGACCATTTGGGAAGTAAACCAGCAGGTTTTCTGTCTCTCCTCTTACTGTAAATCTACCTTTCCAATAAGATAAATAAATTTGTTTAAAATGGAGAAGAAAAAAAACATACAAAAACTTGGGAAGTGAGGAAAGATGAGACAGAAACATTGAGTGACACGTGACAGTGTGATCTCTTGATTGCTTATATATGTTTTATTCAGGCACGCAGCAGCAGCAGTCAGACCCCCTCCCGGTGTCTTATCCACAGACTTGACCACATTGTGATGACAGTAAAGAGCATCCAAGATACCACCACGTTTTATTCCAAGATCCTGGGCATGGAGGTCACGACGTTCAAGGTAACTACTTCCCTTGAGTGCAGCCAAACTGCAAGAAGGACTCAAATTTAACACTTTAGGATATGACCTAACTCCAAAAACAGACACAAAAAAAATCTGGGAGGAAAGATAAAAACAAACAACAACAAAAAAAGAAACTGCCAAACTCTAAATAGTAGAACTTCAAGAGGCAGAGTGGAAAAAAAGAAGGGAGCAAAGTTATTACAGATATCATCCCTGAAAACTGCATAATTTTTTTTTATGGAAAGTGTTGAGTATCTAGCACATTGACACTTCACATGTTGTTACAAAATTCAAAAACATCAAGGTGAAAAAGTAGATTCTAAGACCTTCCAGAGGAATGAAAATATATTTCATCCACAAAGGAAGTAAAACATCAGATTTCTCAAGAGTCACACCAGTACCAAATGACAATCAAAAGAGACCTTTAAGATTCTAAAAGACAAAAAAAAAAAGATCCTGAAGCAAATTTTTAATCTAATATTCTATTTACTTATATATATATATTTATTTATATATATATCTTCCTACCCTAATTTATCAAACAGCTAGTGCTGAAGCTTGTTCAGCTTGTTCAACCCTGGATGCTGAGCCATGTGGAGAATGAATCATCAGATGGAAGATCTCTCTCTTTCTCTCTCTATTTCACTACCTTTCAAGTAAATAGTCTTTGATTAATACGATCCAGCTTGCTTCTTATGTGTCTGGGAAGGCAGCAGATGACACAAAGCCTTAAGTGTCTCCAGTGCATATGAGATATGCAAATAGAGTTCCAGGAGCTTTTCTTCGGCCTAGACCATTGCTAGCTGCAGTGGTCATTTGAAGAATAAACCCGCTGATAAAAAAGATTTTCTCTCTCTCTTTGCTCTATGTCATTGTCTTTCAAATAAATAAAAAGTAATTTTTTTAAATACGCTAATAAAAGGGCCTGGCATGGTAGCCTAGCTGCTGGAGTCCTCGCCTTGCACGCACCGGGATCTCATATGTGCTCTGGCCAGCAGAGCCAGCATCATGGACAGGGAGAGGCTCTGGGGATAAAGCACCCGACAGGAGACCAGTGATGGTAGAAGTCTCTGCAAAGTCTGGCTTTATTGCTCCTTCACCTCTCCTTATATACTCTTCCCCCCACATACTCATTTAGCAGGATATTGGACACAGATGAGTCCAATTAGTTTAGGTGTTTTTAGCCACAAGCCCAGTTCCTGTTCCTGCCCACTCCAATGAGCACTAATCAACTCCTTAGCCCACAACAGGGCCCCCTTTTTTGTTTTAAAGCAGACCTGAATGCACCTGTCTTAGGTTGTAGACTTTCAAGCCATTAGCCTTACCCATCATCAGGAATCTCTGTAGCATGATGGAGCCCCTGTCTTAGGTTGGTCAGTGCCCAGTCCATCTTACCTGTCAGTGACTGCCATTCGATGCATTGCCTGCTGCAGCTGCGTAAACCATACTTGGGGAGGCTGGTAACCCTGTTCTATGGCTAGGAGTATCTTTAGCTCAGTAGCAATAAGCAGACAGCAGTTTCCAGGCTTGGGAAACATTTTGCACTTACACAGGTCTTATAGACATAAAGATATATGATGAGGAACAAGAGGCCCTGACCATATCCCACAGCATCTGCTGCTCTTCTGCCAACAAATCAACCTGCTGTTACAACATAAGCATGCCCACCTGCATATGTTCATCTGTACAGTTCTGTTGTTCTATAGCTCAGGCAGTCAGTTCCACAAGCTTGTTCATGGTCTCAGCGGTAGCAGTAGGGTATCCTAGGGTCACTGCTGCTGTGGTGGTGGCTGCTGACGTCAGGGCAATGCTGGATATGATGTTTGATGTTATGCCAAAGTCTCTTTTATGCCTTATCAGGCCAACAGAGGCCTCTCCATTAGCCCCGACAGGCACAGGCAGGACTCCGGGCAGTCACATGACAATAGCAGTATCTCCATTGCCATTCCAACATGCTGTTAGGGTGCAGCTGACCTCAGTGCAATTCACTTCAGAGACGTTTTCTGTATGTAAGTGAAAAAAAGGGGGGATAACACAGGCAGACACAGACTTAAAATTCAAGGAGCTAAGGCTCACCCACATCAGCGAGTCCTCAAATCCAGAGGAGTGATAGAACTGATAATTTCCAAAGGAATAATTGACAATTTCCCTTAATAAGAAAAAAGGGGGGTTATGCAGTGCATGCCCATTCCCCACAAAGCTACCACATAGAAAAGGCTGGAAATATCGGGACCTCGGTGTTCATAGGAGAAAGAAAAAAATGGCATCTTAACAATATACGAATATACTTATATATATAAAGGCCTAATATACTTGCCTGTCCCGTTGATCTTCCAACTCAAATGCCGTCACCATGGCCAGTACCCGAGCTTTCACAAGACTCCGCAGCAGGGGCTTGCTGCATAAGCCTCTCAGGAATCCACCGTGGGCCATTTTCATTTTCTGGAAAAACACAAACTGATCCTTGCCCTCATATGAGGACGGGATCAGGGCCTTGCCACTGACCAGTCAAGGGATCCTTCCACATCACATAACCCTTCTGCTTCTGAGATGGATTCCAATGATGATCTGCAGCTGACCATCCTTCAGCATCCAATGTTAGAAAATTTAAGATAAATAATACAAGGTTCAAATGATGTTGGTGAGTGCTATATTCCCTCTTTTTTTTGTTTAATAAGGTAATCCTGAATAGTATGGTTGGCGCATTCCACAACACCTTGTCCTTGAGGATTATAAGGAATGCCTGTAATTAGTTGTAAATGGTGGGAAGCATCAAAATCACAAAACTTACTGCTGATATAGCAGGGCCCATTATCAGTTTGAATAACTTTGGGAGTTCCCATGCAAAGCAATGGGCTAGAGTATGCCTGACTTGTTCCCCTGTCTGAGCAGTAGCCACAATAAATTCAGAGCAAATATAGACAGTAACATGCACATACTTTAGTGTCCCAAACTCTGGGATGTGTGTCATGTCCATTTGCAAATAATCTTAATATAATTCAATCAACCTGATTAACTGCACAAAACGAGAGATAAATCTGTTGGCATTCTTGAGGCCTCGTTAGAATACCAAGGTAAGTCCTAGAATTTGGAATTTTTGAATTCTTGGATGCCTTTTTAAAGATGGCTAAAAACATCTGGGCTATGGAAATTTGGGGGGGGGGGTTAATACAATTCTGAAAAAGTTGAAATTCCAATAATTAAATGGAGAAATAAGTTGTATTTTATCTGGGGCTATAGCTAATTTTGCCTCAACTGAAGGGAGAGACGCTGAAGTTGCTCCCATAAATATTTCACAGCTGTGCCCAGATTTAATGGTGCCGATGGCACAGGCAGTGCAGAGGTCTCCAGGCCCGTCCAAAAGAGATTTTTGCTCGGCACATGCTCTATGGATGGAGGATCCTCGGCAAACTCACTTCTATCCTCTTCCATTTCTTCATCCTCAGAAAAGGACCGGAAATCTTAGCGCAGTTTCTCCAGACTTTTTCTGGTTTGGGGTTCCTGCTCCTTTTTTACCCTGGTTTGCGGCTCCCTCCCCCTTCTAACAGATAATTTTTTTTAAGGAAGGGTTGCACTACTGCTTGAGGAGATGACAAAACATCTTTTACCAAGTGCCAGGGAAAAATGGTGAGCAAACCATGGGAATATTTCGCAGACGGTTTCAATGAACTACACAGTATTAGGCTTAGCGTCAGTGCCTTGTAACTGGAACAAATCTCTGATTCCCTTAATCACCTGCACTTTCGCAAGTTCTTGCCCCATGATAACTTTACCTATGCCCCTGCAAAATAATTCTAAGCTTACCTCCAGATTTCTGGGGTCCCTCAGATTATCCCTCATCCTCCAGGATGGGGAGAAGGTCTAGGGATGAAATCATTAATGCCCCTCCAGAGTTCCAGGTGTCCCTCATACTGTGTCCCACGTTGGGCACCATTTGCTCCAACCAGCAGAGCCAGTATCGTGGACAGGGAGAGGCTCTGGAGATGAAGCGCTGACAGGAAACCAGTGATGCTAGAAGTCTCTGCAAAGTCTCTCTTTATTGCTCCTTCACCTTTCCTTATATACTCTTCCCCCCACATCTTCATTTAGTCAGGATATTGGATACAGATGAGTCCAATTAGTCTAGATGTTTTTAGCCACAAGCCCAGTTCCTGTTCCTGCCCACTCCAATGAGCACTAATCAACTCCTTAGCCCACAACACATATGGACACCGGTTCTAATCCCAGCAGCCCGCTTCCCATCTAGTGCCCTGAATGTAGCCTGGGAAAGCAGTTGAGGATGGTCCAAAGCCTTGGGACTCTGCACCCACGTGGAAGACCCAGAAGAAGCTCTGGGCTCATGGCTTTGAATCGGCATGGCTCCTGCCATTGAGGCTGCTTGGTGAGTGAATCAGCAGACAGAAGATCTTCCTCTATGTCTCTCCTCCTCTCTGTATATCTGCATTTCCAATAAAAATAAAATAAATCTTAAAAAACTAATAAAAAAAAGGGCCAAATGAGTGAAAAGTGAAGAAACAGAATCAGAACTACAGCATATCATTTTAAATTTTTTTATTGGAAAATCAGATTTGCACAGACAGAAATGTATATGTATATATGTATGTATATATGCTATTTTCAAAGATTGATTTATCCTGAACCTTCAAGCACCAGCACAATTAGCTTGGTGAGCCACTGTGCCAGCCCAAAAATGAATAATTTTTTAAAGATTTATTTATTTTTATTGGAAAGATGGATATACAGAGAGGAGGAGAGACAGAGGGGAAGATCTTCCATCCGATGGTTCACTCTCCAAGCAGCCTCAACAGCTGATGCTGAGCCAATCCGAAGCCAGGAGCCAGGAGCTTCTTCCAGGTCTCCCACACACGTGTAGCCCAAGGCTTCGAGCCATCCTCAGCTGCTTTGCCAGGCCACAAGTAGGAGCTGGATGGGAAGTGGGGCTGCTGGGATTAGAACCGGCACCCATATGGGATCCTGGTGCGTGCAAGGCGAGGGCTTTAACCACTATGTTATCGCGCCATGCCCCAAAATGAATAAATCTTTTAAGAAAAATAGAGAAAAAAAAGAGTAGTCATTTAGCATAGTGTTTAAGCCTCTTATGTCCCACATGGGACTCTCTGGCTCTAGCTCCTAACTCCAGCTTCCTGTTAATGCATACCCTGAAGACGATGGTGATGTTGCAAATGGCCGGTCCCTTGCCACCCATATGGCAGACATGGATTGAGTTTCAGCTGCAGCCCAGTGGCAGAATTGCAGGCATTTCAGGAGTGAAGCAGCAAATAGAAGCTTTTCCTGTTTGTCTCTTTGCCTTGAAAATAATTTTTCAAAAGACTTATTTATTTAACATTTATTTTCTTCTTATTGGAAAGGCAGATTTACAGAGAGGAGAGGAAAGAAAGATTTTCCATCTCTTGGTTTAGTTCCCCAATGGTTGCAATGGCTGCAGCTGAGCCAATCTAAAGCCAGGAGCCAGGAGCCCCTCTGGGTCTCCCAGAGAGGTACAGTGTCCCAAGGCTTTGGCCCAACCTCCTGCGCTTTCCCAAACCACAAACAGGGAAGCCAATGGGAAAGTGAAACAGCTGGGACAAGAACTGGCATCCATATGGGATGCAGGTGCCTCAGGCAGAGTGTTAGTCACTATGCTACCATGCCAGCACCAGAAATAATTTTTAGAAAATAATAAAAAATGGATTTTTATTGGACTTCTCATCAGCCACACCAGACTCCAAGAAACAATAAAACAAAGTAAATTTTTATTGTGGGAAATAACAAGTATTAACATGAAAAAAGTAATGTTTTTTTTTTCAACGGAGAGGATATAGTGTGTTTCATGATGACCTAAAAGAGAGAAGTTGCACAACCAATGGCACTTGTTGAGAAGTACAGTAGAGAGAAGCAGACAAGTATGGCTGCCCAGATAGCATCTATGGAGGATTTCTTAAAAAAGTAAATATGCAGGTTTTAGTAAGACTGAATATTCTCTTTCTGCCATTGAACAAGCAATTTCGAGTAGTCAGTGGAAGCTTGGGCAGTGCCTGAGAAGGAAGAGGAAGTGAATGGACAGAAAGTACTAGCTCAGTGAGGCAGGGAAATTCCCACAAGCCCCTACTTACACCCTATTTTTGAGAAAATTGCTTCTATCTGAGAAAGTTTCTTAGATGGCTGCCTAGCATGGAATGCTGGGAAATGGAGGTTTTTCAAGCTGGACACACAATTGATCTCACTGAAATGGGTTCTGTTTATGAAACAAAAGGGACATGCATATTGGGTAAGCAAATAACTTTCTCGGTCATGGGTGCTAGAAACATATTATTGGGGGGAAATATGGAAATAATAATAGAGAAGGAATGCACACACACACACACACACACACACACACATTAAACCATTCACCTCACTTAAAGGGACCAAGAGAAGATGATGGGCTGTTGGTGGCCAGAAGGAAAATGAATGAGTGATTTGTGATGTTGCTGAAGACTGAGTGGAAAAGCTGAGAAAGTTTTGTCCTTGCAAAGAAACAAATGGTATTAATGAAGACTGACGAGGATACACACCCAGTGGTGCTGATGCAGAACTTCAAGCTATTTGCCCGGATGAACTTAAGAATGAACCATCTGAGCAACATCCTCACTTCACTGTGTATAGTTATCAAGAACACCATGATGATGGAAGGGTTTCACAGCCTCTGTGCTTTATTTCCTTCAGTTCTATTGTATGTAAACTGGAAAAAGAGATATGAGATCCTGGCAGTAACAAAAAGCTAGTCCAAACAGCTAAACTAACAAAGGGCCACACCCATGTTGGGAGTTTAATTCTGTTGTTTTCTTGCCCACAAATAGGGAAATCGGAAAGCACTATGTTTTGGAGACCAGAAATTTAATCTCCATGAGATGGGAAAGGAATTTGAGCCTAAAGCCGCTCACCCAATTCCTGGCTCCCTAGACATATGTCTGATCACAGAAGTGCCTTTGGAGGAAATCATCCAGCACCTCAAGGTGAGTGGAACTTAGTTGTTTTTGAGAGAGCTATGGCAGACTCTGTGAAAACCCAAGAAGCATCACGAAGGTCTTCCTCAAGCCTCAGATATAATGGGTTTCACTGCATTCAGACATTTCCTGTACACAACAGCTACTCTTGATCTTGACAAACAAGATTTTTTCATGTAAGCAAATATATTTGCTGACCAGCACAATAGCCTCGTGGCTAAAGCCCTGACTTCACACGTGTTGGGATCCCATGTGGGTGCCAGATTGTGTCCCGGTGGTCCCGCTTCCCATCCATTTTCCTGCTTGTGGCCTGGGAAAGCAGTTGAGGAAGGCCCAGAGGAAGCTCCTGGCTTCAAATCAGCTCAGCTCTGGCTCAGCTCCAGCCATCGTGGCCACTTGGGGAGTAAACCATCAGAAGGAAGATCTTTCTCTCTGTCTCTCTCTCTTATTCTGTAAATCTGACTTTACAATAATAATAAATCTTTTTAAAAAGAAAGTAAACTTTCCTGGGGCCCCTGACTATGGCACAGTGAATTAAGCCACTAACCAACACTGACAGCACACATCAGAGGGCAGCTTCCAATCCTAGGTGCTCTCATCTTGAACCAGCTCCCTTGCTAATGTGCCTAGAAAGACAACAGTTAATGACCTAAATACTTGGCCCCTGCCACTCACATGGGAGATCCAACCATTTGCAGTCATTTGGGTGGTGAGCAAGGGGATGGAAAATGAATCCCTCCTCTTTCTCCCCCCACCTCCGCTTTTCAAATAATATTTATAAAATAAAAAGAAAACTTTACATCAGCTCTATAAAAAATTTATACCTAAATTCCTTTTCATAAATATGCTTAAAATTTATTTTTTTATTTGAAAGGGCTATATATATAGAGAGAGATTTTTTTAAGATTTATTTTTATTGCAAAATCAGATATATATAGAGGAGGAGAGACAGAGAGGAAGATCTTCTGTCTGCTGATTTACTCCCCAAGTGGCTGCAATGGCTGGAGCTGCACCGATCTGAAGCCAGGAGCCTGGAACTTCACCCAGGTTTCCCAATTGGGTGCAGGGTCCCAAGGCTTTCCCAGGCCACAATCAGGGCACTAGAAGGGATGTGGGGCTGCTGGGAATAGAACCGGTGCCCATATAGGATCCTGGCACGTGCAAGGCAAGGACGTTAGCCACTACACTATTGCACCAGGCCTGAGAGAGATCTTCCATCTGTTGATTTCACTCCTCAGGGGGCTGCAATGGCCAGGGCTGAGCCAATTCGAGGAAAGGAACCAGAAGTTTCCTCCAGATCCCTCACATGGGTGCAGAGTACCAAGGACTTGAGCCATCCTCCACTGTTTTCCCAGGTTATAAGCAAGCAACTGGATCAGAAGTGGAGCAGCTGGAACATGAACCAGCACCCATGTGGGATATCAGTGCCACAGGCAGATTAGCCATTTAAACCACTGCACTGGCCCTGCATAAGTACCCCCTAAATAAAAGGAAATTATGGGCCCAACATGATGGTTCAATGGCCAAAGCCTCACCTTCCAGCACTGGGATCCCATTCAGGTACCGATTCATGCCTCAGATGCTCCACTTTCCATCCAGCTCTCTGCTTATGGCCTGGAAAAGCAGTGAAGGATGGCCCAAGTCCTTGGGACCCTGCATCCACACAAGACCTGAAAGAAGCTCTTTGCTCCTGCCTTTGGATTATCTCAGTTTTGGCCTTTGTGGCCATCTGTGGAGTAAAACAGCAGAAAGAAGTTCTTTCTGTCTCCCTTCTCCGTAAATCTAATCTGCTTTTCCAATAAAAATAAAGAAATCTCAAAAAATAGATCAAAGAAAACTATTCAATGAAATATATGAAAAACCTGTTGGATCTTAGCATAAAGGGAAAGTAACTGGAAAAGCCAACAGCTCTAAAGGCATGGCAATGTCATTAAACTCTAGCAACTTTCATTCCCTGAGCATGAAGAAGGATTTTGCAGATAGTTAAGGATGTCCGAAGGGCTTGTTTGTACCCTCTAGGCATGTTCTTAATATCTCAGAAGCACTGAAAAGAGAGTAACATTCCTCATGTCCTGTTATATGTTAGTGTCTCTAAAACATTAAAAAAATCTTTTCATATAAGTCATTTAAAATTATTTCCTTTTTATGGGGCTGGCAATGTGGAATATGGGTCAAACCACCACCTGCAGTGCTGGTATCTTATATGGGCACTGATCTAGTCCCACCTGCTCCACTTCCAATCCAGATCCCAGCTAATACTGCCTGGGACATTGTGGAAGATGAGACAAGTGCTTGGGCTCCTGTATCTACATGGAAGAACCCAAAGGGGCTCCTAGCTTCCCTGGCCATTGTGGCCCTGTGGAAAGTGAATGGAAGACCTCTGGCTCTATTTCTACCTCTCTGTGATAAAAAAAAAATTATAAAAAAAATTGATTTCCTCCTTTGTGGAACACAGACCCAAGTCATGAACATCTTTGGTGCAAATAATCAGGGCTGCTTCCTTGGAAAGTGTCTGAAAAGGACTGGGTTGGAACTAAAGTGGATAAAGCACAGAGGTTGAGTATGAACTTTGGCACAAATCACCTCAGTTTGTATTCCAGCTCTGCCATTCACTGGATGATCCTAGGTAATGTTATTAACCCTGTTTGACAAGTGCAGAGACTGAGGTTCAGGGTCATTGGGCCACACAGCTGGTAAGTAGCTGGGGAGAAAGGTAGGAGGTAGGATCAGAAAGATGCAAAGGTATTCTAGTGTCTTCTGGGCCACAAAAGGACAATTTTGATCTACATAGGGTCTTTGAAAAATGACTTCTGTCTTCTCTTCTCACTTCAGGACTGTGACATCCCCATTGAGGAGGGTCCAGTGCCCAGAACGGGGGCAAAAGGGCCTATTATGTCCATCTACTTCCGAGATCCCGACAGAAATCTGATTGAAGTATCCAACTACATTTCATCGTGATTGAGGCCAGTCCTGTCCAATTCTGTTCCCAGGGATGCTGCCCCTCCCCACCCCTCTTGCAAACCTTTGCCTGCAGCACTGAAGACTTAGGCACTTCATCCTTCCTGCTGTGGGTGGAGCTCAAACAAATTCAGGACCGAACTTCTATGTTCAGAAATTTTCTATCCAAGCTGCCTCAATAAATGGATAACTTCTCCAATCCTATTAGCTCATCACTATTGCTGTTTCAGTGCTCTGTCTGGGGTTTTTTTTGCCCTGGGCGGGGGGTAAGATCTCTGAGTTGCATGGAGATCCACAACCAGGGCATAATGTCTCAGAAGGTCAAATTCAAGGTCATCCCTTTGGAATTCAAAACCCTGAATGACTTCTCCTTGTCAGTGAATCCATCCTTCTTCATCCTATTCTAACTCACCTCTCTCACCCAGCTGCTGCCTGCTGTTCATGTCACGGGCCTCATTGACCCTTGTAGCTCTGTGATCCCATGACCTTCAAGAATCAACCCAGATGCTACCACTCCTTCCCGCAGTGTTTTCTCAGGCTTCATTCTTAGGATAGCCCTTTCTGTGTTTGGATCTAACAAGTCAGGCTCATCTCAACTGAGGCTCAACTCCTGACAAGGCAGGTGAGAAAAGGTCAAGTTCCCTCTATTTCTGTCCCACTCCACCACCACCACACCATTCACTCATTCAGTAAACTATAAAGCAAATATTGAGCACCTACTGTGTGCTAGGCCCTGTTCCAAGTACTGGAGAAATCATACTGAACAAATCAGATATGTGCATCTGTATGTAGAGTTGCCCTTCTAGTGGTATGGATAGAAAAGTGAATATTAAATATGTCAGAGATTGGTAAGTGCTTTAGAGAAAAAGCAAATACACAAAAGAAATGCAGGGGCCAGTATTGTGGCACAATTGTGTGCAACACAAGCATCCTATATGGGCTCTGATTCAAGTTGTGCTTCCAGTTTACCCCTTGGCTAAGGGATCTGTGAAAACAGCAGAATATATCTCAAGTGCTTGGGCTCCTGCCACCCACATGGGAGACCACATGGGGGACACTCACAGATGGAGTCCCAGATTCTTAGCCTCTAGGACTAGACTCAGCCACTGTGGCAATTAGGGGAGGGTCCACCCTAATTAGATGGAAGAGTCCACCTCTGTCTTTGTCACTCTGCTTTTCAAACAAGTAAATAAATCTTAAAAGGAAGAAAGAAAAGAAGGAATGAAGACAAAAACTGCTGGAGCAGTTTGTAATATTTAATGGGATGACCCAGGAAAGCTTGACATTTTAAAAGATGTATTTAATTTTTATTGGAAAGTCAGATTTATACAGAGAAGGAGAGATAGAAAGATTTTGCATCTGATGGTTCACTCCCCAAATGGCCACAACAGCTGGAACTGAGCCAATCCAAAGCCAGGAGTCAGGAGTTTCTTCTGGGTCTCTTCTGGGTCTCCGAGGCTTTGGGCCGTCCTCAACTGCTTTCTCAAGCCACAAGCAGAGAGCTGGAAAGGAAGTGGAGCAGCTTGGATATGAACTTGCGCTTATAAAAGATTCTGGCTCAAACAAGGTGAGAACTGTATCCATTAGGCTACTGTACCAAGTCCCAGCTTAACATTTCTTAAAGGCTTATTTTATTTACTTGAAAGGCAGAGGTACAGAGGGTAGGGCAAAATAATTACACACAGAGAGAGAGAGAAAGAGAATTTATCTATCCACTGACTCACTCTCCAAATGGTTGCAATAGCCAGGGCTGGACCAGGCTGAAGCCAGGAGCTTCTTCCTAGTGTCTCAAGTGCATGCAGGCCCCAAGTAAGTAAGTTATCCTGCTTTGCTTTCACAGGCACATTAGCAGGGAGTGGAATCAGAAGTGGAGCAGCTGGGACTCAAAGTGGTGCCTACATGGGATATGGATGTCGTAGGCCATGGCTTAACAATATGCCACAATGCCAGTCTAATGAAGGGACACTTGACTGCACACTGAAGAGGTGGAGAAGAACACACTGGGCTCTGGAAACAGCCAGTGCAAAGGCCCTGAGGCACACAAATGTATCTATTACGTGTGAGGAATGGCAAAGAAGTTAGTGGGGGGAGCAAAGGAGCCAGATTGAGCAGGGTCTATTGAACCACTGTGAGGGCTTTGACTTTTATTCTAAGGGGAGCCAGAGGAGGGTTGAAAGCAGAGGGGGCCATGCTCTGACTTCAGATGTAACTATTTTCCTCAGGCTGCTGTGTTAGAAAAGAGACTCTCCATGTGAGGACAGAAGCAGGAGTCCAGGGAGGAGGCCGCTGCCGCAGCCCAGCCAGCCATGACAGTGCTGGCAGGGGAGGTGATAAAGAAGTCGTTAGATTCTGGAGATGTTCTAAAGATAGAGACTGGGTGAGTTCACCAAGAGAGAGAAAAAAATAAAAGTCAGCTAGCGAAGAGGCCCAAAGATGGGGAAGAGCTCAGATTCCTGAGCAAATGGGTGACGTGGTGTGTGACTCTGCTAAAGGAGTTCCTATTCTTGTAGGATTGGCTCTCCACAGTCTCCAGAGGCTAGTCCAGCTGCAACAACCGGGGTTCTCCAAGAGTGCTAGGAAGAAAGGAAGCGTGAGGAAATAAATTTAAGCGTGGTCAAAGTTTCCTGCCAAATTCTATTATTTTTTTTAACAATTTATTTATTTTTATTGGAAATCCTGATCTACAGAGAGAAGGACAGACAGAGAGAAATATCTGACATCTGTTGATTCACTCCCCAAGCAGCTGCAACGTCTGGAGCTGAGCTGATCCAAAGCCAGGAGCCAGGAGCTTCTTCCAGGTCTCCCATGCGGCTACAGGGTCCCAAGGCTTTGGGCCATTTTCTACTGCTTTCCCAGGCCACAAGCAGGGAGCTGGATGAGAAGTGGAGCAGTTGGGACACTTGAACCAGCATGTTCAAGGTGAGGATTTAACCACTTGGCCATTGTGCCAGGCCCTTCTGCCAAGTATTAAATCAACTTGCTGGGTCTGGTGCTGTGGCCTCTTGTCTGTGACACTAGCATCTCCTATGGGCACTCATTTGTGTTCCACCTCTGATCTCGCTCCCTGCTAACATGTCTGCGAAAGCAGCTGAAAAGGATGCAAGAGCTTGGGCTCCTGTAACCCAGATGGAGACCCGGACAGAGTTCCAGGTGCCTGGCTTCTGTTCTACCCAGCCCAGCCCAGCCCAGCGTTTGTGGCCATGTGGGAGTGAATCAGCCAGCAAATGAAAGATCTTTCTCTATGTGTGTTTCTTTCTCTTTCAGTAACTTTGCCTCACAAGCAAACAAAAGAAAATTTTAAAACAATAGCAACAAAAAGATCACTTGTTGTGGACCTATTAATTATATTCTTGGAGACAGATGATTGATGAAAGGGGGCGGGGAGATGGGTGGATGGATGGATGCCGCTGGTGAAGCTTTTCTCATGTGTGTTCACAGAGGAATATGACTTAGTAAATTTAAGATGTACTATAATAAGGGAAAAAAAATTAGAAACAACCCAAACATCCATCAACAAAAGAGTGGTTATACACACTGTGATATATCTACTCCACAGGATATGACTCGGCAATTAAAGGGAATAAATTTATGTGGCCAGCGTCATTCTGACAGCAAAATGAGACAAAGACAACAAGAAAATTATAGATCATTATATTCTAAATATAGATGCTAAACCCCACAACAAAATAAAAGTAAATAGAATCCAATAATATGAAAAAGGATCGTATACCATGACCAAGTGGGGTTTATGCCAACAAGGCCAGGTTGGTTGACAAATGAAAGACAATCAGTGGAATACTCCATATTAAAGGAATAAAGGACAAACAATGATCTTGATAAACACAGAAAAAGGCATTTAGCAAAATTAATTACCCTTTCATGATAAAAGCACTTAACAAACTAGGAATAGAAGAGAACTTTCTCGATCTCTTAAAGTTTTTCCTCTAAGGATCAAGGATGTCCCCTCTCAACACTTCTTTTTTTATTTGTAAGAAAGGGCAAGAGACAAGAAACAGAGGCAAAGGGAGAGAGGGAGAGGGCAATGAAGAGAGGGCGAGGTGGTGGGGGAGAGGGACAGACAGAGAAACGAAGAGATTGCATCTGCTGTTTCATTCCCTCAAATGGCTGCAGCAACCAGGGGTCTGGAGGGTGTCATGAGGCTAAGTACTAGGGCCATCTTCCACTGCTTTCCCAGACTCATCAGCAGAAAGCTGAATTGGAAGTGGAGCAGCTAGGACCTTGAACCATCACTCAAATATGGGCTGTCAGTGTCTCAAGTGGCAATTTAACCTGCAACACCATAATGCTAGCTCTCACTCTTACACTTCTATTGAACATTGTACTGAAAGGTAATTTGTTGTATTAGCCCCTTTTTTGTTTTTATGACTAAAATATCTTAAAAGAGCTTCTTGGGAAGGAACGTTTATTTTTGCTGATACAGTTTCACATTCTGATATTGAGCAGCCTCATTGGGTGAGGCTGGAAGAAGGTAGAGACAATCAAATGGAAAAGTCAGGGAGAAGACAGGGAAGTCAGGCTGAACTTGGCTTAGATAACCAACTCTTTTGAAAAACTTCCTTCTAAAGGAAAGCCCCTCCCCACTATGACCTACGAGGCCCACCCCCAGACATTACAATTAGCTCAGCTGACCCTTAAGACAAGACTCAAACGTCTGCAGGAGTCTGGCGAGTCATACCTTGTTCATAACTTAAGGTGAAAAAAAATGCGTTGGAATAAGTAAATCTATCTCTATTTACAGATTTATGATCTCTCTCTCTGCCTCTCTGATCATTTAAATATTTATTTATTTGAAATGAACAGTCACAGAAAGAGAAGGGGAAAGACATAGAAACAGGATCTTCCATGTGCTGGTTCATGCTCCACATGCCCACAATAGCCAGGGCTAGGCCAAGCTGAAACCAGGAGCTCAGAATTTCATTCAGGTCTCCCACATGTATAACAGAGGCCTGTGTACTTGAGCCATATTCTGCTACCTTCCCAGGCTCATCAGGAAGGATCTGGATCAGAAGTAGAACAGCCAAGTTTCAAAACAGCACTCTGATTAGGATGTTGGTATCACAAGTAGTGGCTTAACCTGCTGATCACAATGCTACCCCTAACGTGATCTTGTACATAGAAACAAAAATTAAAGATTTATCTATTTTACTTGAAATTCAGAGTTACACAGAGAGAGGGAGA